ATGTTGGAGTTAGGAGAAACCAGAAAGACTTCATTTGCTCCCCAAATATCAGCACCTTTGTCTCATGCTATTGAATTTGCTGCTGGATTAGGCAGCCTAGGTGTATATACCAGTGAACGTGCTAGAGTCATTTCCTCTAGTCTTCTAGCTGATGGGTGAATTATATAGGTCCTATAACTAAGGGACTCTGGGCAGTTATTTAATTCAGTTTACACATATAGTTAGGATATTAAAACTCCTATTATACAGATTTTAAAATTCCTGTTGTACAGCTGGAAACAGTTATGGTCAAAGGAGTTAACTGAGATACAATGTCATATGGCTAATTCGTCTCAGAACAAGAACTGAAGTTGTGGTGTGCCCCTTCTACTATATAACACTATCTTCGGAGATATTATAACTGTTTAAATGGATAAAAACAAGTGACCGTGGCTTTACATATCAGCACAGGCAAAAGTCTAGCAGTAGAACAGACAGAGTTTCAGAAAAGAGAAACAACATCTAAGGAAATCAGGGCAAATCTAAAATACCTTGGTAAACGTTTAGCTGTGCTCTTACGTTAGCTGTCTGTCTGCCCACATTTTATTGAGGCAGTGAAGAGCAGTACATTGGCCTGCAAGGGATTTGTAGTAGAAGTTTGTGCATTTAGAAGGTTTATTTATCTTATTGTGTAAGTCTTATCAAATTAGACTTATCAAGTTAGTCATCAAGTAAATTGGGGAAAGATTTAACTACCAATTTTGCACAGTAATATCTTTATCATTGCATAACTAATTTTTACATGCTTTAGTCACTGTGCTTACTGTTGTATGTGCTTTATCTTTGGTTTAGTCTGTTTTCTATACAGACCTTCCTATACATCTTCCTATTTCATCTAATTATCCTTTCATGGTAATATCGCGTTTCATTCTACAGTTTAATCATTTCCCAATAACTAGGTTCTTTCAGCCTAATCAAAAAGCTCTAAGCATCTCAGCAGAAACATTTTGTTTTTAGTCTTTTTTTTCTGGGGGGGGAAACCATATAACTGAAGTGAAGTCATGATCAAAAGAGATGCACCTAAAAAGATTATACTATTTAATAGCACCACCCGCACAATCTGAGAACAATCCTCAAAACCTTGTCAGCATTCAGTTTTATCATTTTATCTATCTGTATTAATTTAGTAAATATTACCTTTTTTTTTTCTAGTTGTAAGACAAACACATAATTTTTGTAGAATACTAAGGGATACAGAAAAATGTGGAGAAATCACACCAGCTGTAGATAAGTGCTCCTTCTATGTGTATTGTTTTACTCAAGTGGACTGTAATTTTTTAAAGAGGGTTCCTGGAGACAGAAATGCTTCTCTTTCAGTATTTTGAGAAATTAAAGCCAAGTTTTATCTACACCCTCTTATCCTATGCCATCGTTCAGCAAAGTTCCATTTTTCCTGAAAACCATCCTTCCTCCCAGTTGATTTTGGAAGGGTGAGAGAATCAGAATCAAAGTTTGAAGATGAAGGCTTAAGGAAGTAGGTGAGAAAGGTAGGAGCCCCTCAGTAATTAAAGTGTTCAGAATCAGCTTTTAAGAGAAATTTTTCCTGAAAATAAGGATACAGGGCACAGGAAATCCTGGGTTTAAGTTGTAACCTAACTTATTTTATTTCTTTAAAAATATTTTCCAGAAAAAAAAAAAAAAAGAAAAAAAATATTTTCCAGAAAAAAAATTCTACAGACTGCTGACTAAAAGACCCAAACCATTCTTCTCTTATTGGTACAAGTATTTGGTTTATGGTTTCACAGAGAATATTTCAGGGGCGTTCACACTAATGAGAGTCAGCTGACAGGAAAGAGGACTTGTGGGGTGGGGTGAGGCAGAGGCCCAGCCTTAGGAAATTCCAGAAAGTAATCTTTAAAGTGTCTATTCTCTCTTAACAGATCATGATGATTAACGTTCCCTCAGGTATCTGAGTAAAAAGGGTTGAAGTGTGATAAAAATGTGTTACTGAAGAGGATTTCAGTATGAGATTGTTTTTCTTTCAGGGCCCCTCTGTTTCCTTGAGAAATATTGAAGGAAACCCCTCCTTTTTCCTGAACTTCAGATTACCACTTATAAAATGAAGACCATAAAATTTATCATAAATACAGCATAGGCAAAGGCCAGAGTAGTTGAGATCTTGTTACCCTTAATAATCAGTGGTTTGGAGGTGAAAAGGTACTGAAAGACACATTCAGGGCCCCAGGGAGCTCCCTAAGTTCCAGCTCATCTCAGAGCCACTCACTGTCGGTTTAACTGATTTCCAGAGACAGTTCTATTTTTCTTTAAGACAAAATGGCTTTGTAGATTCATTTTTTTTTAGTATTTGAGAAAAAATAATCAGAGTACCAATACCCTCATGAACCAGAAGCCTTTTTTTTTAAAGCTCTTAATTTAACCCAAAGGTTTAAAAAGTTAGAACAGAAGAGAAATTTTATGTATCTAAAGTCAAAAGAAGCCTCTACCCTAATAGAACACTTGTTCTGGTTCTAAAGGGCTCTGCTGACAGTCACACCAGTGCCTGGACTTTGCACAAGACAGGATGCAACTACAAGTACAGACAGAAAACTGAACTCTACTGGTTGTGACATGTGACACTCTTGGAATAATACTTGAACTTTACCTTTAACAGAATGTAAATATTTGAAACATTGCTCCAGCAGTATGAATGCAGGACCTATTCCTTTTTTGTTAAGAAGAGTGGGATTTCCAGGCTTTTCCCCTTTTGAACACTAAAAATTCTAATTTTTATAGTGATCATCTTACAGTGCAGCAGTATTTGGAATAAATCTTTGGAATTTCCTTTACTATAATGGTCAGATAATGAGAAATGTTTTAAAAACTAAACAAAAGCAAAAAATGTGACTATCGGGGACTTAGCCAAATGTAGGGGACTCAGGGCCTCCCCTGGTGGTGCAGTAGTTGAGCGCTGGGCTGCAAGGCTGCCCACAGCCTCTGCAGCGCCGGTTCATTCCCAGGCCGGTTCATTCCCAGGCCGCCAGCGAGGGTCCCACAAAAAAAAAAAAAAAAATAGGGGACTCAGCCAATTTTCATATGGGAGGCTGCTCCCTGTTGTGTATTGGTGGTGTGTGTTGAGCCATTTGAACGTGGTCAGTGTTGATGCAGCTGATCTGAAGATGAGGTGGCAAGATTAGAGTTACCACAGCTTATTTGGGGTTTTATTAAAAATAGATTTAGTAGTGCAGTGTAAATAGAAAATCTGGCTGGAGATAAATCATATTAAATGTACATTGAATCTGCAAGAAACTCTTAATGGTGTGGCATAAGCAACCAAGCCTTGGCTCTGATTTCTGAAGTGACACATTTTATATCTCCAAGGGGAGAGAAGACAAAATAGAGAGTTCACAGTCTTAAACTTTATTGTTGAGTTTATTAGTCCTTTGAACTGAACGCTAATTACTAATATTGAATTCAAAATGGTGTTTTATCTCCTGTCATGCTGGATATCAGAGATCCTACTTTAAGTTGTCTGAAAATAAATTGAGATTTGAATGATAGACTCTGGTTGAAGGGTCTCATTACAAGCTGAATAAACATGGCATACCTTCAGTGTACCATGTCTGGGAGCAATCTGTCAAACTTAAGTTACTTTCTCTTGAGTTACTTTTCTAGTCTTAAAAATTACGAGATTTACCCTAGGTCTGAGAGGTACAGGTATATTAATATTTGTAAAAATCACAAAATACTTTACAAAATACTTTTCTTTATATATATGCTAGAAATATATAGATGAAAAAGTCATGATCTCTGCCCTCAGTAAACTTTCAGTCCTGTAAAGGGACACACAATAATTTGACCGGAATTGTAATGGAAGTGTGGCCAGATACCTTGGGAACACAGGAAGGACTACTTAGATTTCTGTAGGAGAGGTAGGGCAGGCTGTCCAGAGGGAATTGTGGCTCATGGTTTGCACTGAATCCTGCAGGAACAAGCATTTGCTAGACAATGGAAGGATAAAAAGTAATCCAGGAAAGCATTTACAATATCATGGACTTCACGCAGTTTGCCTTTCCTGGAGGACAAAGGATGAGGAAGAGAATATTCAGTGAGAATAGTTTAGGGACCTGGTCTAGAACTGGTCTTCTGTAATATACTAAGCACTTTTTTTTTTTTTTAAGATTTATTTATTTATACAAGCACTGGGTACAGTCAGAAGCGGGAGGGTGAGAGAATTCACCAGAGCCAGAGCGGGGAGCAGAGCAGGCAGAAGGACCGAAGTACACTGCTGAGGGGAGCAGCGGGCGGCAGGAGAGGTCTGCGCGCCATGTGGGACCCTCCTCTGGTGGCCGGGGAGCAGCCGGGGATCGAACCGGCACTGCAGAGGCTGCGGGCAGCTTTGCAACCCAGTGCTCAACCGCTGCACCACCGGGGAGGCCCATACTAGCACTTTAGAGTTAATTCAAGGAGTGACTAGGGATCCTTAAAAGAATTTTGAACAAAAGAATGACATAGATTTATATTTTGGGATAATCACTTTGTATTACTTCAGATAATGGCAGCATCATAGAGACTTGATGGAAGATATAGAAGAATAGAAAGGTAATGCAGTAGTCCAGGGAAAGAGATGAATACATGAAGGAAGGTAAGAATGGGAGAGAGAAAGTAGCATAGAGAAGGCAAATAGCAGATTCTGCATCAGCCCTTGGCAATTTGGAGAGCCATGTTTTTGTCATCTGGGACATGAGGATTCCCCTCCAATGACTGTTTAATTACAAGACTTGCTCATTAAATTGGTTAGGCATGATCATTAGCAGAGAGCATTACCCATATAGTTATTTTTCCCTAAGCCCCTGTATAGAGTGCTTGATATTTATAATGTTGAAAACACATTCTGTGGACTATGAAAACTAATATAAAATCAAATCTCTTCTGGGTTTTATTTAAAAAGGAGATTGCAGGCCTCCATCAAGAATTCCGATCATCTATACAAAGCCTAATGTTGGATTTTGTTTTCCAAACAGCTTCTTCGGACCCAAAGCAGAAGTACAGGTGGAAGGAAGGTCTCTGAAAACAACTATTCTCTGGATGACTTGGAACTAGGCCCAGGTAAATAGAGAGGTCCCTCCAAGTATGTGAAGTTCTTTAGGAAGGAATCATTGGTGCTGATAACTTTTAGCTTCAAAACCAATATTTTAAAGGAAAAGTGGAACAAATCAAAAGGAAGTCTGCCTGTTGGACACATTTCCAAATTTCATTGCTCCCCACAAGTAGTTTCTTAGTATTTTTAATCCATACTAGTCAGTGGTAACCAAAGGGGACCTTTATGGAATCACCAGGAAAATGCTACTGACAGTTTTGACTATGGTCACCTGTGGGTCGGGGACACCATAGATGGACAGAATCCTCCATCAAGATTGGTTGTTGTGTGTTACTAATGGTAACGAAACTTAGCTTTGGAAGTAAATTATTGTGTTTCAAAGGGAGCATATACAGGCACTTTACAAAAGAAAAAATAAAATTAATAGACACGGGAAAATCACCATCTACTCACCAAAGAAATGCAAATTAAAATGGCATTGATATCTAATGTTTTTCACATGTTAAATAAACCAAAAATTTTAAATATGTCATACATAATTATAGTAAGGGTTCTCCTTTTCATGTTGGAAAGCAAGTGATTACCTTATAAATGACAGTTATATTCCTGATTTCTTTCTTTGTACTTTTACTAGAAGAAATGATTACATTACATTGCCATAGCCCAAGATTTTGACTAAACCATTCAAATCACATTTTATCTTCTAATAAAGCCCATTGTTTTATGCTTCCAGGTCAGCTGTCATCTTCTGCACTCAACTCAGAGAAAAGCGAGAGTCGGAGAAATCTGGAGCTACCCCGCCTGTCAGAAACTTCCATCAAGGATCGAATGGCAAAGTACCAAGCTGCTGTGTCCAAGCAAAGCAATTCCACCAACTACTTGGTATGTTTTCTGGATCATTTTTTCATTCACTCATATATCAAATGGTCACTGAGCACAGCAAAGAGAAATACCTCCCTGACCTGTGAGCCCTGGCTTCCTGCCTGTCCCTAGCCATAAACCCTACCCTAGTTTCATCATAATCCTTACCATGGTCTAATCCTGACTTCTCTTTCCTTATTCCCACCCCACTCATTTTTTGGTAATGTGACCATCTAGTCATGTCATAGATTGCCTATCTCTTTTAGTTAATCTTGTCATTGTTGTTTTAAATAAATAGTATTTTATTCATATTAATAGAAACATTTATTTTATTTTGGTTTTTGAGGGAAGAAAGGTAGAATACGAAGAGAAATATTAGATCAATACTAACGCAGGGTGGGAGGTTATCGTTTTTTTAATTGATATATGTCATAGGGCATAAAGATCACCATTTTACATTATATAATTCATTGATTTTTCATATATTCACATGGTTGTGTAGCCTCATCACTGTCTAATTCCAGAACATTTCCATCACCCTAGAAACACACCCCACCCCTGTGTAGTGCCTCCCAGCTTCAGCTCCCACATCTGGCAGCCACCATCTACTTTGTGTCTATTGGGTGTGCCTATTTCTGGATATTTCATATTAATGAAATCATGTGATATATGGATTACAAGGATATTATGTAATCCTTATGATATAATGGTTTCTTAAGGAAATAGAGTGGATAAGAAGAAGTGGCAAGAAATGACAAGAAGATGATATGCTCAGGAAGCACCAAAATTCGGTATTCTAAATAGAATGGAAGGTCTCATTTTACATTTTTTTAGGCTGAACTAGCAGACTGATACAACAGAACTAAAATAACTAAGTTATTTTAAATGGCATTAATTCATACATAACACACACATACACACACGTATATATATATATGCACACATACATGTGTATATCTTTCAAGCATTTGTTCCTTCTGAGAGTTCAGATTACACACTGTTAATCTCCTGATGTCCCAAACAACCGATGCACCACCAGGGAAGGCCCCTGATGTCCCAATTTTTAAACGAAGTCAAAAGAATAGTATTGAATTCCCTTTGTTCCTGGGCACTCTAAAACTGGTAATTAGAGATCATGACATGTATTCCAGGAGTTGAGCCTTCTTTCCCCCACAATATTAAAGTATGCATTCTCTACAATATTCAGTATTTATGGATGGACCTACGTCTTTGGGTATGAATAACTTCATCTTGATTTCACTGAAGTTTTAAGAAAAGATGATATAAGTCTGTATAGCGATGTGGAATGTCACAGGGTTATTATTCACTATAAGGATAAAAATTAAGCAAATTTAGACTCCTCCTAGAAGGCAAGTCAGGAGATACAGCAAATAGGTCATCTGTGTAGCTTCATTCCCTCTAGTTACAGGATTTAGCTGCTTCCCAGTGCCCTCCTGGTATAACATTCCAACCCGGTGACTCTCTAAGTGGAAAAACCTGTTCAGTGACTTTTTTCTCTAACCTCCTAATAGAGTTTCCGCATTGCAGTTCTCCTCTGCTATAAATTTTAAGAGTTGAAAATTCTTAAGAATTCTTGTAAAAAGTAAGTGAATTTCTCAGCCCCTTACAGAGGGGCTAACAAAGCACTGACAAAACTTTGTTACCATCGTTCTAACAAAGCACTCTTGTGGGCAGTGATACTGGAGGTTGGACTTTGAGATGGGTTAGATAGAAATGAGTTGCTGGGCAGTACTGGTGTATTCTGCAGTCTTGGCTGCCAGCTCCTCCTGAGATGTACCCCTATAGCTGTGTGCCCCCAGATGCAATTCCAGAGCTCAATCTGGAATCCCACACCTGAATAAGTCAGCACACTCATATCCCTTTCCTTGACCCTATTGCCATAAATGGTTATGTTTCCTCCCTAACCCTAATAAATACAGAGAACAGAAAGATACTAACAATACTAAATTACTAAGGAACAAAAAGTAGGAAATGTTCATATTCATATCTGATTTATATCTTAATTTATTTTGTTGTTGGTTTGGTTTTTTTTTTTGCAGAAGCTTTGGGTTATTTGTATTTAAATTTATGTAGTTTTAGATTTTATAAGTAACAGTCTCATCACCTTTTATTTATACTTATTTTTTAAATTTTTATTGAATTAACATTGGTTTATAATATTATATAGGTTTCAGGTATACTGCGTTATAATTCAACATCTGCATATGCTGCATTATGATCCCCATCAAAAGTCTAGTTTCCTTCCACCTCCATAAATTGACTTCTTTTGCCATAGTTACCTGTCCTTCCACACATTGTCAATTTAAATATTCTTGCCCTAAGCATTCTTCGCAAAGAAATATGTGTTTATGCTTACTTCTTATAACAGTATTAGTATTAATGCCTGTTTTTTTTATGTTGAAGTTCTGTGATGAGAACTAGGATAAAATATGTCTTTAGTTCAATGTATGAATTTTATGTGAAAAACATGCTTTTGAAGGGTTCGCAAAAAGGGCTTGTTTTATGGTATCATTAAATATAATTTTAGCTTTTTCATGTTTTATTAACATATATTCTTTTTATAGGAAATAAATGAAATTAATTTTTCCCTCATAATAGTAAATTTACATTATCTGAAATTTCTTCTCTGTAAAATGTGATTATAAGATCTACCTAACTTCAGTTTTTATATGTATACATCATCCTGTCTCTCTTTCCAGGCCGGGCATTTATATATATATGGTCAGTATATTTTCTTAATTATTCGCACTTTGGCATCTCCTTTCCCCTGCTCCAGAATGGTCTTTTCTGACAAAACTCACAAGCTTTGCATTCCCACAAGCTCTGCTGCCACAAGAGTGAATCACAAGACTGTGTGTGTGCGCGCGTGCTGATGTGTCTGTATTCTAATGAGCATCTAGTTAGACATGTGTACAAATATTTAACTCTGAGGTATGTGTCCACAAAGCCACTTTTGTCATTTCACGAGTCAGTAGGTTTTGCTTGTGAGAGTTAGAGGATTGATTTGACCTGAGATCTCTTAGGAGACTTTTTTTTAACATGCCAAGTTGACTTAATAGATGTGGTATGAAGAGACTAGAAGAGTGGGATGTCTTTTTTAGTTGAAAGATTATTTTTATTTTGTAGAACGAGTTGAGAACCAATGGTGGTGAAATCAAAACCCATAAGTTGGAGCAAAAGGAGAATGTGCCTCCAGGTCCTGAGGTCTGCATCTCCCATCAGGATGGAGAAAAGGTGGGTTGAAAAGCCTGATGTCCAGTTGCCAAGAAAGCATGTGTTCTAAATTAAAGCCTAAATTAGAAGCAACTCTAACTCCAGACTGTAGAATGCCTGGGAATTTGCTAACAGGTGCCAGGACAGACTGTCAGTTTTTGCAGGTCACATAGTATTGGTTGGAGACCTCTGTGACTTATAACTGACCAAATAATGAACCTTCATCGGAAAATTCTTTTGCCCAGTAAATGCTCAGAGTGTATAGGCTAGTGATTTTTTTATTTTTAAAAAATATTTTATTTATTTATTTTTGCATAGAAGAACTGGGGTGTAGCCCAGAGGTACAGGAGGTGAGAGGATTCACCAGAGACAGAGTGGGGAGCAGAACAGGCAGATCCACTGAAATACACTGAGGGAAGCAGTGGGCGAGACAGGAGAGGTTGTTGCGCCATGTGGGTACCTCCCTGACTGGGATTGAACTCAGGCCATTGCAGTGGTAAAGCTGAACCTTAACCCCTAGGCCACCAGGGAGGCCCGCTAGTCATTTTTTTTTTAGTCTGTTTTTATTAGAGATGCTGTTTTCAAATTATTTATATAGTCTCAATTTAATACACTTTATGCAAGAATATTTCACCCTTTCACTAAAAGTATTTTGCAAGCCAAACAAACCACTTCAGGGCCTCCCTGGTGGTGCTGGGGTTAAAGTCTCAGCACTATGAAGCTTTCAGCAGCCACTGCAACATGAGTTGATCCCTGGCCAGGGAGCTGACCCACATGGCACAGCAGACCTCTCCTGTCTTACCTGCTGCTCCCCTCAGGAGGGTATTTCAGTAGATCCACATAGCCTGCTCCCTACTTTGTCTCTGGTGAATCCTCTCACCCCCTGCACCTCTGGGCTACACCCCAGTTCTTGTATGCATAAATAAATAAAAATAAACCTTAAAAAAAAAAAATCACTCCAGAGAGTGCGGTGGAGTGGCCAGCCAGGAGGCAAGGGCACGGTGGGAGGCAGACGCCAGGCCTTTCTTTGACGAGCGGTAATGGCAGGGCCTTGACTTAAGCCTCACAATGATAATTCAAAGCACACCGAGCAGTTTTGTAAGGTCCCAGCTCGATGCCATGCTTTTGAAGAGGAATGGATAGAATGTTCACATGGAATTGGTGGTATTTGAGCAGAGAAAGAATGCAAGATAGAATTGCAGAATGTCACTTGAGCAGGAATGAAGCATCAGCTGAGTGCCATCAGGAGGCAGCAGGATAAGCTAATCAAGGAGAGGAAGTACACACCTCCACCCCACCCCTCGGCAAGGAGCAGAGCAGCTGTGATGAATCAAGGTGGATTTTCATATTCTTTCCTCCACTGGAAAGTTTATTTACTGAAAACTGCTTTGTGAAAGTGTTTGAAAGTAAAGAACTGTTCCATTCAAAAAAACCCCAACCAAACTATTCCATGGTCTCGATCTATAAGAAAGCTGGTAGATTAAAGGGGAGATGAGTAGCAGGTTACTATCTTAATAAAACTGTGACAGCATGCTGGGAGACAGTTGTGCTGGGTCATGGAAGCCCAGACTAAGGATACTTAACCTGACTTTCTCAAGAAGGTGATGTCTGAGCCAAATGTTGAAGAATGTATGGAAATAGGCCAAATATATAAGGGAAAGGTTAAATAAAGAAAAGAGATAGTCCAGGGGCCTCCCTGGTAGCACAGGTGTTAAAGACACACTGCTATCAAGCTATCGCCAGCCACTGCAGCACAAGTTCGATCCCCAGCTGGCCAAAGAGCCAACCCACATGGTGCAGCAGACCTCTCCTGTCTCACCCGCTGCTCCCAATCATCAGTGTATTTTAGTGGATCTGCCCGTTCTGTTCATTACTCTCTCTGGTGAATCCTCTCACCCCCCGCCACCCAGAACCCCCAGAACCACCCAGAACCCACTCTGGCTTATACCCCAGTTCTTGTATGCATAAATAAATAAATCTTTAAGAAAAAAAAAGAGAAGAAAAGAGACATTCCGGCAGACACAGTAGAGGTTTTGAAACCAGAGATCTGAACCAAGATGGCCTAATTAGAGCATGAGGTGAATACCAGTCATGTGTCACTTAATGACCTGTAATGATCAGATGGTTTTGTCATTGTGCCAGTGTCACAGAGTGTACTTTCCCAAGCCTACATGACATACCCTACCACACACTTAGACTATGTGTCAGGGCTCCCGACTGAAACTTTACTTCATGATGTGGCTCGTAACTGAAATGTTATGGTGAGAGACAGGGAGAGAGAAGGCCAGGACAGACCTTGAAAACTTTGTATGCCACCTTTAAGAGTTTGGATGTAGGGCCTCCCCGGTGGCGCAGCGGTTGAGCCCTGGGTTGCGAAGCTGCCCGCGGCCTCTGCAGCTCCGGTTCGATCCCTGCCTGCTCCCCGGCCACCGGAGGAGGGTCCCACATGGCGCGCAGACCTCTCCTGCTGCCCGCTGCTCCCCTCAGCAGTGTGCTTCGGTCCCTCTGCCTGCTCTGCTCCCCGCTCTGGCTCTGGTGAATTCTCTCACCCTCCCACGCTTCTGACTGTACCCAGTGCTTGTATAAACAAAACAAACAAACAAATAAATAAAACATGCCTCTATTAAAAAAAAAAAAAAACTTTAAATAAAAAGAAAAAAAAAAGAGTTTGGATGTAGTCCTGCAATGGTGGAAAGCCACTGGAAGATTTTAAGCAAATCAGATTTATGTTTTATGCATTAACTGGTAGATAAATGTCTTAACTGGAGTAAGAAGAAACATCTATGTCAGGTGAATTTATCATTTTCTCTGGCAATCTATTACCTAGTCTCCTCACTCATTCAGTCAATGTGATAATCAAATGTGAAGTTAGATGAGGAAGAAGAACTTTCCAAATTTATTAGCAATTATCTCACTGAGGAGAAAAATCATTGCTTCTGTTAACATATATCGACACCATTCTTCCAAAAGGTGAGGACATAATTAAAATGCGTTAAGAGCAGTCGTTCTCAAACTTATGACTCTTAACAGACTTTAAAAATTCTGTTGTGCTGATAGAACACCAACAGGAACTCAGGAAATATACTATACACTTGGACCAAAGTAGGAGTATATAAAAAAAGATCTCAGATGATTGGCTAAAAAGTTGAGTCATAAAATAAAGTAGGAAAAATAATTAGAAAAATTAAATCCCTTCAAAAAGTCACAAATTTATGTTGAAATAATAAGAAAAATATTGACAATAATGTGTTTCATAATCAAAAGCATAAAATTATATAGATCCTTGCAACAGTGGGCATATGACATGGATCACATGTCATTCAAGTGAGTCACTAAGTCAACTGCCAGTTTTTGCATTGTTTAAGTGGGTGATTTCACAATTCTTAAGGGGTGGTCTTAAGAATAATTGAGTTTGGGCTCAATTTAGACTGTATAACTATATATACTATAACATTTCAAGAGAAAAATATTCCCAGCATTGAAGTCCCCCCACCTACCCTAAGAGTTTGAGAACTGATCATACAGAAAATAATACTTGCATTGTCCCTATATCTAATTTTATGTTTCCATCTTGATTGTCTTTGTGCTGCTGTGAAACTGGAACTCTGAGCTGAACTGGAGGAACACAACATTTGAATTATAGCAAGGGCATCAGTGCAACTGCATCACAAATTGGGGAATAGGTGGGGACAGAAGGAGAGAAAGACGATGCAGTGTTCTGGCACATACTACAGGTTCATAAACTTTGTCTTAAAATTCATCAAAATTTTTTTTTAAATTCATCAAAATTTTACAGAGCCTCAGCTGTCCTTTTGGATGTTGACTTAGCTTTTGTTTAAATCAGTGCCCAAGGGCCATTTAAAATTAAGCATGTTATAAAAGGACATTAATGCTAGGGTAAACTTGCCTGAAATAGAATATTTTGTCAAGATATTAGTCTTTGCTTCTTCCTCTTATGAATGAATTTGTGCTTTCCTGTAATGAAATGTTTGAGCAAACTCTCACATGCTGTCTCCTGGCTGTTCCTGCAGTGAAGTCATCTGGTTGGGCATGTGCAATGAGGTCATGATTGGCATGAAGTTTACCCTGTAGGTTCAAGGTGACCAAATTGAAACAGGTTATGTTCATTATAACCTGTTTTTGCTTTCCTGGGATAAAAATGCCAAATAAGGGCACAGATAAGCTCGTGTCCTGGCTGGGGTGAGTCCATCCTGGTGTGGATGTACCTACTAATTAGCAGAATTGCAGAGCTTTTAATGGCCATGCACATCTTTTTAAAAAAAGTGTTTCAGGGTCTCCCTGGTGGCACAGGGGTTAAAGACACAGAGCTATCAAGCTATTGTCAGCACTAGTTCGATCCCTAGTCAGCCAGGGAGCTAACCCACATGGTGCAGCAGACCTCTCCTGACTCGCCCGCTGCTCCCCTCAGCAGTGTGTTTCAGTAGATCTGCCTGTTCTGCTCCCCATTCTCTCTGGTGAATCCTCTCAGCTCCTGCATCTCTGGCTTATACCCCAGTTCTTGTGTGCATAAATAAATATTTTTTAAAAGTGTTTCATATCAGTAAATGAAATAATGCATGTAAGGTGATCACTCCGTATCTGGCACATAGTAAACATTCAATAAATGCTATTATTTTATTCATTTGTTTTATGCCCTGACAGGACTCCTGTAATGAAAAGAGAATAGTGGGGGAAATGACCATACTGAAATTCAGGTGCAGTCAGTCAACAATTTACTCTCCATTGTAAATTTATTCAGTATCTTAGACATCCTGATATAAACTCTTAGCATCACCCATGAAACCCTGACATCTGAATGAAAGGCTAAGTGCATGAAGAGGGATTATTGGGTCACCTATTGATCCTTCATGATCTTGAGTGTGAAGAGCAGAGCAGAAATTCGTAGGCGAGTGTAGAAAGGAAAGAGAGCTAGCAGAAAGTATCTTATTTAAATTTGATTGCTTCTGGGAAAAGATACCTATGCATAAGATGTGCCATCTTGCAATTAGGGTTGAAAATCCAAACTAACCTTGAAGATAATGCCAGAGATTGGTTTTCAGTAAATTTGTTTTATAGCTGTTGAAAGGTCTTTTGTACTGGCACGCTTGTATTTGGTTGGGAAATAGGAATTAGAAAAATAAATGACTAGAAATAAATAAATGACTAAGAATAGCTCCTATATGTGAAAACTTTATCTTTTATTTTGCCTTGGAGTGAGTTATGGTTTTACAGTGAGCAGTTTTGCTCTCCCTGATAGAAGGTTTTGTTTTACTTTTTCTTTTTTTTTCCAAACTAGGAAAGTATTATTTAGAAGTTCTTTTGTAAAGGGAGATGATGCACACTTTTGGCAGTTGAGTGCAGTCTGTTTCTCCAGTTACTTTGTAATTGAGAGGCATGTTAATATCCTCATAAAAGACATTTTGCTGCCTCTTGTTTAAATGCTCAGCTGTTCTGGGGCCTTAATTTCCCCCAGGCAGCCAGTGACTGACTGGAGTCAGCAGGTTTTTATGGCATTAACAGCAGTTTGCTCTTTTATTTTTAATGTGATTCTTAATCCCCCCCTTTTTTTTTCTCTAGTTTTCTGCAACTGAAAATAGCCTGCCAATCCGTTCCACCCCTGCTGAAGATGACTCCTGTAAGCATTTGTTCTTAGATCTGGAAGGTGAGGGTCTTATTCTTCATCTCCTAGTTGCTGCAGGAGGTGTTCCCACAATTGTCGGTGTTGAGAAAGTAACATTAAATACAGTTATTCAGCTGATCAAATCTTGCGCTTGATTTTAAGGACTGATGCTTACATACCCTCCATACATTTTTTGGTTTAGGAAGAAGTTAAATTCAATTAAATATTATTAACATGGGGCCAAGTGAATTATTTTGGGGCTTCTCTCATTGAATTCATGCCACCTTTTTGTACCAAACCTCTTCAGGGGTTAAAGCTGTGAAAACTAATTTTGAAGTTTCATTTTAATAGAAGTTTAGCCAAAAAGGATTTTATTCATTTACAGGGATAAGGAATTGGTATTTAAGTAACCTTTTAAAAATACCCTTTCCCCTACTTACACTTATCTCAGTTTGTATTGTGGTTTACCCTCTGGCCAGATTGTAGAGATTTCCCTGTTAGTGCTAAATTTGTTCACCTTTTCTTCCTATTTTGGAGTCACTTTGAGCCTCTCTTCTCCAAAAGACAGAAACTTGGGGTTTATTTTCCCCTTACCATAGTCACTTTTGATTCTGATATTCAGTGTATTATTTTTCAAATACATATTTATGTGGATTTCTAGTTTTTCCACAGTTAGATTACTAGGCACTGGAAATTCTGCAACTAAAGTAGAAGCATGAGCTAAACAGATCTCTAATAAACCTACCAGGAAAACTCAGCGAAAAGTTCTTGCTGCTTGAATCCAGGAATATTCCTTTTGGAATCATTTTGTTTGGACTAGAAATTTTTCTGATTTTTTACTAGACTTGCAAAACATTTTTTTGAAAAACAAGCCTTTTTAGTTTGTTGACTTAACTCCAGATTTTAAGGAATCCATTTATGGCTCCTTAGCAGCTATGTAAATGACTTTTCTATGTCTTTCTGTGTTTTCCACATAATGAATATATTGACAGGAAATTAACTCACACCGGGGACAATTTCATTGATTATGAAAAAGCTTCATGGAGCCTTTTCCCATAACATTCTGTTTTAGGATTGACCAAAGAAAGAGTAAACACACACACACACACAATGAAATTTTTACCCTCACATTGCCCCAACTTCAGTTGAATCTCCCCAGGAGTTATTACAAGTGCCAGCTACCAAAAGTTATCAAAGTCTATAAATAGCCTTTAAAACTGACAAATGCTCCTGAGCAAAAAGCTTTTTTATATATGGTGGTTAGATTCCCACTGTGTGTGCAAAGGGCGAGACTCAAGCCTTCTACCTGAGAACCCCATGTGTAAGAGAACCTTAGAGCACAGTTTTTAGTATTAGAATATTCTTCAGCAGAAGGATGTTTTTCCTGGTGGGTGAAAGGATCAATCTTTAGGCAAAGTACATAAACTGATTTGGGGAGGAATTTGGGGAGGTGCTCTAAACCATCTTCCTGTGGTCACTTACACAGGTAACTCTAAGGTTAAGAGTGAGGTCCAACAGCCGGTCCATCCCAAGCCACCAAATCCAGATGCCAGAGCCTCCAGCCTTTCTGAAAGTTCTCCTGCCAAAGCAGTGAAGGTATGATGGTGATTTCTCTCTGAGCCCTCAGTAGTAGAACTTAATGTACCTACTGTCATTATTTTGACTATACCCTGTTTTTGCTTTCCTGGGATAAAAATGCCAAATAAGGGCCCACTTTCCTTGGAAATCTTGTTATGCTCAGGTTTGGGATCAGCAAGGGGGAGGCTCACTAATATCTCAACTTGAAATCTGGAAATCTCAAAGTTTCAAGAAAACCTGAAGTTAAAGGAAATAAATTTTTGAAATATTTCTGAAAAAATGAAGTCCAAGTTCTTAAATCTGTGAATGGGTAAGAGCCCATGAATGAGAAATACAAGAGGTCTGTAAACTCAGAGCAGCCCATTAGATCGGACATGAAATGTCAGTTTAAAGATAGTGGCCCCCTGATCAGAGGAATTTGACCATAACAAAATTGATGGTCAGCATATTTAAAGATGGAATGTCTATATTGCAGTGATATATTGTATATATGAATAAAAATATATTCCAATGAAAATAAACAAAGGTTAAAAACCCAAACACTTATTTTAGGCTTATTATTAACACTGACTTGTTTTCACAGAATGCTCTTCTAATGCAGTGCTAATTTACCTATTTAGATTAATAACCAAATATACACTTCTTTAGTGTCTTTCTCCTCTGGTACTCTCATAAGTAGGTGGATTTTGTTTTGAAATTTTAATGTTGAGAGAAACTCATAGGTAGAGTTATAAGGTGTACTGCTCTAACTGCATGCACGCATCTGCAAAGCTTCTAACTCTCAGCTGTGTGTGTGATTGAGCCCTTAGTGAAAGTTCTAGTACCCCCAAAATTGAAGAGAACATAGATGAGTGTTCAAAACAAAAGGAGGAAAGGGGAGAATCCAGGATTTTAAGGGTGGATTTAAAAGGGGGAAAATGGATAAAGTGCAAACGTGAAAATTTTAAAGGCAGCAGAAATTTATGAGGAAAGGAAGGCTTATTGAAAAGGAGCAAACAATGAAGACAGTAGCAAGAGAGAAGCAAGTAAAGAGAACCGAATTACAGTGATTGAATCTACACATGTACTCAGAGTGACTCTCACTTCTGGCCTTAAAGAGGCCTGTGATGTTATCAGCACTTTTTCCAGTATCTGAAGTCCAACAAAGTAGCCGATGCTGTGGTGTTAATTTTCTCACTATCAGCAACCCTGCCCAGATTTGAGTCCCTGGGTTCTGGATCAAGAAAAGTCAGCAAATCTGACTCAGCTGTGGATACTGTTTTTTTGTTTGTTTGTTTGTTTAAATTTTATTTATTTATTTATACAAGCACTGGGTACAGTCAGAAGCACAGAAGGGTGAGAGAATTCACCAGAGCCAGAGTGGAGAGCGGAACAGGCAGACTGACGAAGTACACTGCTGAGGGGAGCAGCGGGCGGCAGGAGAGGTCTGTGTACCATATGGGACGCTCGCCTGGCAGCCAGGGATCAAACCAGTGCTGCAGAGACTGCGGGCAGCTTCGCAACCCAGCGCTCAACCACTGCGCCACTGGGGAGGCCCGACTGTGGATACTGTAGAACTGAGAGACTAGGGGAGTTCCATGACTAATTTAAGAACTAAAATCTCTTCTTGAGTAGATTGAATTCTCCACCCAGTTTTGCTTCCCTCCTTCAACTTCAAGACCAAACCTCCTGGTACTGGATTGGACCTTTGAGATCCCTTTGGAACAAACTGTAGTGTCTGAGGGTCTGAGCTAATGAGCAATATAAAAGAAACACCCCACACGTTGGCCTCCCTTGGCGAGGAAATGGAGATAAAACTCCCTCAACACCTGCTCCTGTGACCTGGCTATTCCGCAGTAGAATGCAGACAGGCCTCCTTTCATCAGACATACACCTCAGGTTTTGAACATTGTTTGAAGACTGGAATAAAGTGGCCCTGCTACCTATGTTTGCTTCCAGTTCAAAGCTCAACTGATCATGTATAGAGCCTGGGTGGGACTCAGTCAGGTCGCTACTTTTATCTAAGGGAAGTTTACTTTCTCTTCCTTGAAGTTACCCTTTATATTCTGCCGGCAAGAATATAGATACTTTAGTGTTTATCGGAAGACCTGCTGACATACTGGTCTCATAGCTATAGACCATGCAACAGAAGTTGAGTCTCCATTTTTGGACATTACATACAGCTAAGAATAAATTTATTCACTTAGAATAGATTTTTAGGTCCCACACATCCTGGGGACTATTCCTTAGTGCCTGTATGTTATTGAAAATAAGACATCTAAAATAGACACTAAATTCATTTCAAAATTTAGCTTAATGAAGTAAAAATAATGATACTGGTCTTTAAAAGTAAGGATTTTGAACACTGACTAGAGAGTTCAGTTGATGAGACTTGGTGCTAATGAAGATTGCAGCTTTAAGTAGCAGGTTCATTCTCAAAGGGGAGCAGAGCTCCGTGGACCCTGTTAACGGATCAGGGCTTTTTCACTCAAGAGACCCAGAAGTCTTTAAGTTGTATGTTGTATGTTTAAGTTGTATGTTTGAAAGACATTATCCCCTAAATGTTCCCAGAGGGAAGGCTAAAGGAGGAAAAGGCTAGTTGGTGCCCCAACTGTCCAGTACTACTGAGTCGGAGGCTTCCTTGGTTGGTCCTGCTGATGGATGTGCAGAGGAAACTTGGTGGCCTGCATGAATAGACATGCCCTGGGTGTCTCTCCCTCTACGGGCAGGAAGTTCATCTGCTCTTATGCATAGCTGTCAGAATTATGCTAGATGGGCCTCAAGGATCTTTTCTTGGGCCTCCCTGGTGGCGCAGGAGTTAAAGACACAGCACTGTGAAGCTATCCGTAGCCACTGTAGCATGAGTTTGATCCCTAGCCAGGGAGCTACCCACATGGAGCAGCAGAACTCTCCTGTCTCACCCGCTGCTCCCCTCAGCAGTGTATTTCAATAGATCCACCTGTTCTGCTCCCCACTCTGTCTCTGGTGAATCCTCTCACCTCCTGCACCTCTAGACTACACCCCGTTCTTGTATGCATAAATACATAAAATCTTCTTTAAAAAAGAATCTTTTCTCACTATATATTATTACTGCTTATCCAAAATATTAACCTTTTCTCTACTTTGAAAGCAGTCTGTTTAAGATAGGAATATCCCCCAAATGATTTCAAAAAGAGTTTTCCAGGAAGCGAGGGGAAGGGTTAAGGCTATAAAGAGCCAGTCTGACCATTTACTACAGCGAACAATGAGTTTAACTATCTAAATATTTTGCACAAATTGGAAAGAGGAAATGAAAGCATTTCGTGGTGTTCTTTCTGAGGAATGGAGGCCTGACATCAATACAAAATTTTCTTTTGATTCCACTATGACTAAAGGTCAGTTAGTGTCACTGTGTGTTGCCAGCTGCTGCCCCCGCTCACCCTCGCCGGCATGTACATATGCCCCAACTGAAGCCTTCATTAGGCTAAAAGTATACACATAAGACAAGAGTATGAAAGAATGTTGCTGAAGCCATGGAAATTTGTTGGGAAAATAGCTTCAAGTAGGTGCTGTTAACAGAGGACCTGTAAGAACCCTCACAGGGCAAAGTGTTCATGAACATCAGTTATTTACATACTGCCTCACTCATTCTAGAATATCTCGATTATATTGTCTACATATTTGAATTTGAAACAAAGTGTGATGATGTTGGTTCACAATGCCCTGCTGTAGTGAGGGTGTTTTCATTTGGGTTTGCACCTGCTCTCTTCCCCACAAGGAGTTTTCCTTTAGTTACAGAAATGTAACATTCCCGACAGCTTAGCAGGTGCTATTGTGCTTGTGAGTTGGGAGGTCTGAGTTTTAATTTTAATTCTGCTGCTGACTGTGCGAACAAAACACCTGACGTGGCAATGATTTAGTTTTTACATGTGAAAAATGGTGAGGGAGAGGAGATGAGAAAGAAAGGGGGGAAAAAACCTTACTAACTGAAAAAATATAAAAATTTGAAAATGCCTAACATTTTCATCTTGGCAGTGTTTTAAACGTAGCTGTGCCAAGCCCAACTATGCCATGAAGGCATAGGGAGGATGCACGCCAGGCCCACCATTATGGTAGAGATTTTTGGGCACTGACTATATTTCCTGTTGTCTGAATAGACACGGGGGCAATTATAGAAAAATGGCTGAACGCCCAGAATAGACGAAATAAAGGGAAGGAGGGAAGGCACAGCCGTAGCCGCTCTGACTTGGCATATGACCATGTTGGAATCCTCTTGTCTTATGAAACTATCAGGGCCCTCGGGCAGCTACCACATAAAACCTTAAGTCATATTGAAAAGGATGTATTTAACAAATAATAAAAATAATGGGAATCTAGTAGGCCTGTGGTTAGTCAGCTGCTTAAGCTGGCTGTCTACTAATTTGATGTAAGGAGGAGGAATGACTTTTCATTCCTCCATTTAAGAGAGAACTGTTGTGGGTCAGGTGTGGGAGGTTGCAAGACACTAAAGAATTGTTAATGAGACCCTCCTTGTGTGGGTGAAAGCTCATAAAAGTTTTCTTTCCTGAGCTGGCATATGTTCCAGCCTCAGGTAGATGTGAGTGAAGCTGATTTTGCCATGATTGGCAGAGCTATTTGAAAAAATAAATTATAAATTACGGTTTTATTCTTGGATCTGAGTCTGTAACTGAGTTTTAGCCCAGCTGCAGTAAAGCGCTAGGGTGCACGAATGCTGTGTATTCACCGAAGGTTCCTGTTTATCTCTTCCAGCTTCTGCTTCCTGCTCCCGGTACCTAATTTCTGCTCCTGCCTTCCACTTTCCTCCTAATGTGAGCTCAACTTTCAGCTTTCTCTCAGGTTCTCCTTTCTATTCCCTGGGCTGCATCCTCCTCCTGCTGTGTGTTCCCTGTGTTTGTAACAGGAGGAATGCTCCCTAGACCTCTATCCCCTTTAGCAGAATCATCCATTTCCTCTTATACCACACGGAATTTCTGTCTCCCGCCATCTTCACTGACCTCAATGAATGTTTATTCACCTAAGTCCAGTGGTACAAATTCAAAATCCACTCTGCAACTGAAAAAGACTTTCGATTTGACAAAAAGTGTCCTGTTGTCTATGTATTATGTGAACTATGATTTGTATAGGCTCTCGATCCGGTGACTTCAGTTGAAATATTAAACCCAAATTTTGTTTCCATCTTAATGTATCTCCTGCTCGTTAGTCAAGGACCTAGGCCTTTTAGAGAAAACCTAATTAAAACTATCTATGCAATGACTTAATTTTAGGAATCTCCACTTAGGTCCTATCTTGTTAGAAATGCCAGTGTAAGAAAGAAATTCTGAGCTCCATATAATGCCTTAATTACTTCAAAATATTTAATAAAATAACATCTGATCACATTCAAATAAATACCTCCCTTGTGCTTGTAAACTATTTTGCGGGTCTTTAACTATTTAAATTTTTCTTCTTAAGATTCTAACACAGGGAATAGAGGTTCTATTCCCAGTCATTTCCAGTTGGTTCTGCAGTTTAGTTCTTAAGTCCCTTGGTGCTATTTGGGAGTTTACTGCTAATATTATTAGATCCCTTTTAGAGCGTTTTCCTTTTATTTCCACTTTTGCCCATTTTATCCTTATTTTCTATCCAAATTTATTTGGAAAAATTTCCTGTTGTTTGCTTTACCTCCTAGTGAACCAATATGTGAATTTTTTGTGGGTTTGTTTTTGGGTTAGTAATAAAAATCTCATCTGCCCTTAACTTGATTTATTTTAGGCTTAATTTAGCCATTCAGGTCCTCGGCCTTGCGACGAATCTGCATTGTTTGCCATCAGACTGGTACTGGCAGCAAAGGAGCCTGTGAGGCGGCCTGGGAGCTTCCTGGTCACCTTTACCTAGCGGCTTCTGCATTTCCTGGTTGAGGTGTTCTGCAGGGTCAAGTTAGGGGATACCCATGCTCCCCTGCAGACTTCTTAACCCCCAGCCCTAGTAGTAATGTAACCATTTAATATCATGTGAAAACTTAGTTTTGAAATACTGGTTTTCATCAGTGCTAACAACTATTTTGTTATTTAGGGCTGGGTTTACCAGGTAGACAGCTGTACTCACCCCACCCTTAATGCACACTTTACTAATAGTTTGTGAATTCCCACTCTATTATGACTGTCTACTCCCCATTACATTAGTGTTATTCTCCATTGGTTTTTAAAAAGATTATAGAACCTATAACTTTATTGGGTATGCTTTCTTTTGGAGGCTAATAGTTTGTTTTTAAATTTTAAACCATACCACATGTGTGCCAGTTTTGATGTATCTAAAAAGTATTATACCTAGTTGATTGAGCAAGTCAATATTATAAGAGGGAACTAAAAGATCCTTTATCAATGTCCGTATCCTAATTCCCAAAGCCAAGTGCTCTTCTGGAAATTAATCCCCCTCAGAGTCTGTTCTTATAAAAGTCTGTCCTGCTTTTACTTGGCACTTGAATCAAACAAACTTCTTTCTTCAATATGTGATGATGTTTTCTCCCAATTTCCTGTACGTGGAAACATTTTACATGCATTTTTGTGTGTGTGGTATCTTGTCTAAGCCTTTCTCTGCAATCCAGCCCTAGCTCCACCCATTCTAAGTGACTGCTACTCTTGGGGCAGCCAGACAATTTGGGAAAGGAATTCTGGGGAATCTCTTGGTTTCAAATCGTCAGCTGATAGGACTGGCGCAGGCTTAGTTCCTATGCGAATTGACAGACCAGGTAAGCGGGCCCTTAGGCAACAAAGTAAATCCCAGGGCCTATCTCAGCAGAGTTCTAATTCACCACTGCCTGTGCTACTTACAGAGGCCCTTTTCCCTTTTCCTAGAAGTTTCAGGCACCTGCAAGAGAGACTTGTGTGGAATGTCAGAAGACCGTCTACCCGATGGAGCGACTTTTGGCCAACCAGCAGGTGTTCCACATCAGCTGCTTCCGGTGCTCCTACTGCAACAACAAACTTACGTAAGCCTCCACAAACAGCCATCACCTGGTACAGTCAGATCTCTGAGGGAGTCCTTGGCTTTTAGAGCATGGGTTGGTACTAAAAGCTGTTATGTTGATAGTGTACTGATGAAGTCTCTTGAAAAAGTAGGAAAAAAGTGGAAAGTACCACTTAATGACAAGTATTTCATATCAAATGATAATAATACTGTTTGGAACTCTTGATGTATTATAGGTTAATTTATATGTTAGGACAGAAGCTTAAATTATATGGTTTGCAGATAAACACCTCTAGGACCTAATGTGGTAGAATGTTTTCCTTTGGTGTATCATAGAAGCATTAAGAAATCTCAAGGGTGGCGCAAGTGATAAAGCTATCACCAGCCACTGCAGCATAAGTTCAATCCCCATCCAGGGAGCTGCCCCGCATGGCGCAGCAGACCTCTCCTGTCTCACCCGCTGCTCCCCTCAGCAGTGTATTTCATTCACTCCACCTGTTCTGCTCCCCACTCTGTCTCTGGTGAATCCTCTCAACCCCTGCACCTCTGGCCTGCATCCCAATTCTTGTGTGCATAAATAAATAAATCTTAAATAAATAAATAAAATTTGATACCTTGTGAGAAACACCAAATCTGATAAAAGCCTGTTTAGCACCAACATTAGGTTGAACTTACTTCTTGACTCCTGTTCTCTCTTCTATTAGCCACTGCTTACTTCCATTGAGTCAGTCGTGTGTGTGCAAGGGGGCCAGTCCCAGAAAACTATATCCATTCCTGTAATGATGTATATGTAAATTACAACTCAAATGGGATACTGAGAGTAACATTATAAGTCATTATACATTATAAATACTTAGGAAATACATGATTGGTCAGTGCTAGGTGGGACTACCTAGGGAAGACTTACTGGAAGAAGTAATTTTTTTTAAACAGTTTCGACAGAAGGAAGAGAAACTATTAACCAATGGCAGCATGTATGAGGGGAGAGAAAGTCTTATGAAGTTCTAGGCACGGAAGTATGCTTTTCATAAGGATAATAAAACAAATGTGCTTAAAAGGGGTAGAGACGATGATTTGTCATTTTAAGGACATTTTTCTCGTTTAGCACCTTCTGAAAATACTGGAATTGCCAGATTTTAACCCATTAGTGTAAATAAGAGTGGAAAGATTTGCTGATATTGTTCTCTTTTTCTTTTAATGACAGTCTAGGGACATACGCATCTTTACATGGGAGAATCTACTGCAAGCCTCACTTCAATCAGCTCTTTAAATCTAAAGGCAATTATGATGAAGGCTTTGGGCACAGACCCCACAAAGATCTATGGGCAAGCAAAAATGAAAATGAAGAGACTTTGGAGAGACCAGCTCAGGTACCAAATGCAGGGGAGACCCCTCAGAGCCCAGGTGTTGAAGATGCCCCCATCGCTAAGGTCGGTGTGCTAACTGCGAGCATGGAAGCCAAGGCCTCCTCTCAGCGGGAGAAGGAGGAAAAACCAGCCGAAACTAAGAAACTGAGGATCGCCTGGCCGCCCCCCACGGATCTTGGCAGTTCGGGAAGTGCTTTGGAGGAAGGGATCAAGGTATCCAAGCCCAAGTGGCCACCTGAGGATGACGTCAGCAAGCCCGAAGCTCCTGAGGATGTAGCTCTAGATTTGAAGAAGCTAAGACGGTCGTCTTCGCTGAAGGAAAGAAGCCGCCCCTTCACTGTAGCAGCTTCCTTTCGAACCACTTCTGTTAAGGGCCCCAAACCCCTGTCCTCACCTGTTAGGAAAGGCAGGAGTGTATCAGAGCAGAGTGAGGAGTTAGGAGGAGGAGCAGCAACGGCAACGAAACAAGTGGAAAATGCCGACACCTGTGAGAAGACTGGGGCTGTGGGAAGAAGGACCTGGCAGAACGAGGAATCTGGAGGGGAGGCCGGAAGGAGAAGTAAGGAAGTTCATGATTTTGAGATGGGGAATGAGAATCTGATAGAAAATGGTGCAAACTCAGATGAAGATGATAGAAACCTTCTCAAACAGCAGTTGCCCCTGGAACCCAACCCAAGTTGGCCCAGCTTTGCAGACGACACCTCCACCAATGAATTCACTACTCAGAAGCAGAAATCCCAGGATGCAGGCTTCTGGGAGGGAGATGTAGAGCTGTCTGTGGAAGAACAGATAAAGAGAAATCGGTATTATGATGAGGATGAAGATGAGGATGAGGAATGACAAATTACCGCGATGCAGGGCCTTAAATTCATGTTAGTGTTAGAGAGCCACTGCCCTTTACGAAAGTAATTCATGGAAACAGGTATCTTAGCATGAAGTCTAATTTATATGGATGTAACTTTGGAAGAGTTCCTGCTTCAAAAAAATCCCATGCTGCAGTTTAAGTAAACCAATTCTACAATCTAGAGATAGTTATTTTAATCCTCTGTTTTAGCAAATGATGACATGCCTAAGTGCTTTACGGGCTTCCAAGGGAGGATGGATGTTCCAACTGATACAGTCCAGATTCCACTGTATTCCCAAAAGGCAATATGAAATTAGGTAGATAGTAGTATATTGTTACACTAAAATTCAGTTATGGAATTAGAGAACATACAGAAGGGATTTAGGAACCCAAACATGAATGAGTGTACTTTGGTATAAAGGGTACAGTTTATATATTTTTAAATGAATATCAATTTAATTGTTTCGTATTCATCTGTTAAGAGATCAAATATTTAGTCTTTTAAAAATATTTTAGTCTACTTTTCTTACTGTGATATATATGGGGAATTTATTGCTTTGTATCTTGTTCTCTAAGCCACATTTAGAACTGGATTATTGAAATATGACAGTCATCTTTTTGGAATACCCTTTGAGCACCTTTGGTGCTTGGAGAGATCCACTGTCTCCTAAAATATGCTGCGGTATTTGCTGAGTTTGACTACACCACAAGCGGTCGCTTTTTTCTTTGGTGTGGCATCCATGCTTTGCATAATTTACCAAAGCTGCAATATTTTTATAAGATCTTTTGTATTGTTGTTTACCACATTGCACATTAGAGCAAAGTGAGATGTTTAAAAGAGGAAGAGCAGAGAGAATATCTTAAGGTTCAGATCCCCATGCCCTATATTCCACTTCTGATATCCCCTTTCGCAGACAGTTTTTAAAATACCAGCTTTGAAATGTATTGATTTTTATAGGGGACAGTATTCCCAGGGTGCAATTAAACCAATTATATACATTTGGGGGCTAGGGGGACTTTAGTGTTAATGGCTTTAGAACTTTATAAACTTGACTATATTTGATAATTTGTACATAATTGATATTCCGTATTGTATGTGGGTGTGGAGAGAGAAGTGTTTTTAAACTATTGGCTTTTCTTTGTACTGCATTTTAGAGATTTAACTCCAATATTTTTCAGAGATGTAAAATATTCTGCTTTCTATACACTTGCATTTTCTGAAACATTTTTATTCAATAAAGCTTTTAATTTACATTTGGAATTTCCAGTATTTATTTTCTGTTATAATTTTACACTGCTATAACCTCCTTTTACCTTAGCATTTTGGGAAGAAAAGGCTCAAAGAAAGGTCTGATGTTTGTAGAGTAAGTGCTATTATGAAATCATACCACTAGATGGTGGTGTTAGGCTGTTCTTGGGCCTTCTTCCTCCCTGAATAAAGATAAAGTTTTTTCTAGAAAATTGAAAGCGACTTGGCAAGAAAATTAGTGTGTACATTCAAAATAAGTCACTTGTTTTACCAATTCAAAAATACAGTGCTTTTTAAATTGCTAATTATACTCAATATTTAATAATTCACCTCACAGTTACATCTAATATGCTAAATGGAATTTCCAAATACCTCTGCTGAAAATAGGCTTGTTTTCCTCTCTAGGCAGAGGCATAGTTAATAGTTTGATTTTTTTAAGTGGGGGTATGGGAGTATTTGTTTCCTAAAAGATTGTTATGCTTTTTGAGTCATCTGTTATATTTTCAGAATAATTCACCATATCTAGTGACTATACAAAAACATGTGAGCACCTATGCCTGGCATTTTTGAATATCAGTTATGTCACATATTTCAGGTAAGTGTAGAATGAGATTAAACTTAGATAAGTCCTTTCCTTTGCTTTTCCAAGGCTATCATAGGCACAGGGAGTTGAAACAAGGACTAGCTCCATACTCAATGTAATAAAAGAATATCCTTATCAAGAGAATGACTGACTGCAAACACTAAACATTCTTTTTTAAAAAATAGATTTTTTTATGCATGCAAGAGCTGGGGTGCAGATCAGAGGTGCGGGGGAGGGTGGTGAGAGCACCCACCAGAGACAGAGTGGGGAGCAGAACAGGTGGATCTACTGAAATGGGCGAGGCAGGAGAGGGCTGCTGTGCCATGTGTGAATCTCCCTGGCCGGCAGGGAACCGAACCCCTGGCCCCCAGGAATCGAACTCTCGCTGCGGAGGCTACAGACAGCTTCACAGCTGAGCCACCAGGGAGGCCCCTAAAATGCATCTTGAATATAGGATAGTTACCATCAAAGACAATACTAGGTGTGGCAGGAAATGGCTTCAGGCAGTGGTCCTCAGGGAATTTGTTAGAAATGAGAAATGCAAATTCGTGGGCACTACCCTGAACCTCCTAAATAGAATCTCTATGGCTGGGTTCTGGAAAACTAACAAACTCTCTGTCCACCATTGCACAAGCTACTGTCTTAGCTTGATCACACTGTAACAGGGTGGTCCCCAGGAAAGGGGGAGTTTCCCTGCCCCACCCAAGGGAAGGTGGAGCTGAGCAGGAAGAGGAGAAGATGCAGAAGGGACTGAGGAAGGAAGCAGGATGGAGCCAGGAGACACGTGAAGAAACTGTGCTTGTCTTTTGGTTGTGGACTGGGTGACACAGATGTGGGTGAGACCCATGGGGAGGTGACCATGGCAGCTTTTATCTTGATGTTGATTTTGCTCTTTTCCTTCCGGGCTTGTCTGGTTGTTTCTGGCCCTTTTCTGTGGGTCCCCACTGGAAGATGCCTTAGACTTGTGGCAGACTTTGGGGCCTTGCTCTGGGCCAATCCCGTTTGGATGGACTTTTACCCACGAGGGGACGGGTAACTCTGGATGCTTCATTTAGAGACTAGACTAGAAACTAGAAACTAGACTCTTTGCCTTACCTGTATTGTTTCCTAGTTTTATTAAAGTTCCTTCCCATTAAAGTCTCATGTGTTTTGTGTTGATGCGGCGGATGGCAGAACCCATGTAGAATAGGCAGGTGTGCGGGGTTTGGGCTGCCCCTCTCCCTGTCCTATAACAACGCTAAAGTTAGAACCGTGAGCTAAAACCTACTGAGGATGAATGCTTCCACCCCACCCCCACCCCCACTAACCTCTACTCTCCCCCTCCCTCTTCCTTTGACTAACTTTAATTTCTGGCGTGAGCATGCTTTACCAGTTACCAAGTTACTTTGCCTTGGACCAGAGGGAGAAATTTCATTCTTTTAATCATTTTTAGGTCATTGTGCTTAGCTTCTGGTAATTAACCTTGCAGTCAGATTTTATTTATTTTTTAAGCAGCTCTCTTCTCTGTAGAGAGTTCTTTTATATTTTTTTTATTTTATATATTGTTAATTCATTTTTCATTTTTGCACAATGTATGCATTTTCATCTTGGTTGTATTTCCCATACAATTCCCACCCACCCCCTTTTTTTTTATAAATATGTGTTGCTTTTTTTTTTTTTTTTTTAAGATTTATTTATTTATTTATACAAGCACTGGGTACAGCCAGAAGTGCGGGAGGGTGAGAGAATTCACCAGAGCCAGAGCGGGGAGCAGAACAGGCAGAAGGACTGAAGTACACTGCTGAGGGGAGCAGCGGGCGGCAGGAGAGGTCTGCGCGCCATGTCGGACCCTTGCCTGGCAGCCTGGGATCAAACCAGCGCTGCAGAGGCTGCGGACAGCTTCGCACGCAGCCCAGCGCTCAAATGCTGCGCCACTGGGGAGGCCCCCACCCCCCTTATTTTGACCCTAATCCTTCCACCCCATATCCCCTGCTCCCCTGGTAGTCTGTCTCTGGTTTATAGTTGCTTGTCGATTTTGATTTTTACTTTATTATAACTAGTCATTTTCCTGGTCTCTTATTTAGGTTTTCTAAATTCCTGCTATGAGTGAGACCATCCGGTATTTTTCTTTTTCTTTCTGGCTTACTTCGCGGAGCATGATCCCTTCCAACTCCATCCAAGTTGCTGTGAATTGCATGAGTTTACTTTTTTTGATTGCTGAGTAATATTCCATTGTGTATATATACCACATCTTCTTGATCCAGTCATCTATTTTTGGGGCATTTGGGTTGCTCCCATAGCTCAGCTATTGCAAATAGTGCTGCTATAAACATAGGGGTGCAGGTGCCCTTTTGAATTAACGATTCTGTGTCTTCTGGGTAAATACCTAGGAGTGGAATTGCTGGATGCAGTCAGATTTTAAAAGCATCCAGGTTTAAGGGTTTTCTGGCTATCAAGAAACAAGTTTAGCCTTTTGAAGATGTCTCGTCTGTGGCTTCCCTGTTCATGTAGACCCTCGAAGGAATTTAATGTTCAATGTAGAAATTGAAAATTAAGGTGACTTATATAGAATAAGGGTTCAGAGTTTTGCAGTCTGAAGACTTTTCTAGCTTAGAAGTCCAGCTCTACCAGTTCTTATCTATTTAACCTTGACCAAGCTGCTAGACTTCTCTCCACTTCAGTTTACCCATCCATAAACTAGTAAATAAGCCACTATGTTCCCTTCCATTTCCTCTTCCCCATAGAGCATAAAAGGATTTTTCGTTAAGTCCACTTTAAAAGGTAAAGCATGCAGGGCCTCCCTGGCGGCGCAAGGGTTAAGACGCAACCTAGGAAGCAATCCGCAGCCACTGCAGCACAAGTTCGAATCCCGGCCAGTTAGGGAGCTACCCACATGGCGCAGCAGACCTCTGCTGTCTCGTCCGCTGCTCCCCTCAGCAGTGTGCTTCAGTCAGTCTGCCTGTTCTGCTCCCCACTCTGTCTCTGGTAGATCCTCTCACCCCCTCACCTCTGGCCTGTACCCCAGCTCTTGTATGCATAAAAAAATAAATCTTAAAAAAAATAAATAAAAGGTAAAGCAGTGTAAAGAGGTTGAGATCCTGGAGGGGCACCAATGGAGGAAAAGGTAGGAAGGAAAAAGAAGAGGCGGGTGCAGAGGACCACGAGGCACCGGCTGAGAGGCCGGCCAGCCTTAGGGAGAGGGGACAAGTGTACAGAGACAGTTAAGACCTGGTGGGTGGGGGAACAACTCCGAGTCGGCTGGGTAGTAAAAAGTGCTGTCCCGGTGTGGGAGCTGGGGTGAGGCGAGGGGTGTGGCCCCAGAGACGAGGGGTGTGGCCCCAGCTGGACGGGCTGGAGAAGCAGCAGCGCGACCCTAACTGGAAGCAAAAGGGGCGGGGCCAGGACTGAGACGGGGCGGGAAGGGGCGTGGCCCCAAGGCCAGAGTGAGGCTACGCGGGCTGGGGGCGTGGTCAGGGCTGGGGGCGTGGCCCAGGGAGAGGAGGGCCGCGGGGCGAGATGCGCGGGGCCGAGGCCCGGCCCCACAGGGGAGGTGGGCGGAGGCGGGCTGAGGCGACTGAGAGGGCTGAGGCGGCTGAGACGCGCCGCGCCGGGGCCGGCGAGGGCCGGAAGGGTGTGGCCGCCAGCCCGGCCCCGCCCCGGGGCCGCCTCCCCGCGGGTTCCGTTGGCTGTGGCGGCGGCCGGGGCTGTGGCGGCGGCGGCCGCGGGGCGGGCGTAAGATGGCGACGGAGGCGGCGGGCGCCCTGGGCCTGCTGTGGGGCTGGCTGTGGAGCGAGCGCTTCTGGCTGCCCCGGAACGTGAGCTGGGCGGACCTCGAGGGCCCGGGCGACGGCGCCGGCTACCCGCGGGCCCGGCACATCCTCTCGGTGTTCCCGCTGGCGGCGGGCGTGTTCTCCGTTAGGCTGCTCTTCGAGCGGTGAGCGCCGCGGCGGCGCGGGCCGGGGGCGCGGGGGGCGGCCCCGCGGGGAGCGGGCTCGGGCCGGAAGCGGATCCGCGGGCGGTCCCGGAAGCGGGGGGCTGGGGCGCCCGGGCGCCGCGGGTGGTCGCGGGGCTCGGGGGACGCGGGGAGCTGGGGGCGCGGGCCGCTGCGAGCGGGAGAGTCGAGGGGGCGCTGCGCCCTTTGACGCTTAGTTCCCGGGGAGCGCCGAGGGGTCTTGGGGGCCTCCCCCCGAAGCACCGCTTCGGCAGACAAGGACGCTCCCAGATCCCCGAGGCGGGAGCAGGAAAGGACCGCGGGAACCCGGCTCCACTGGGGCGGTGGAAGCCGAGGGGTCAGGTCGGAGCCAGGTGTTCCCGGCGAGAGGAGCGGGTTCGCGGGAATCTGAGCCTTGCGCGGACACCTGGGACTCTGAGGGTTGGCGGGTCGGGCCCCAAGCCTTGATTTGTAAGCTCACGAGGATGGGGGTGTGTGTGTGTGTGACAGTGACAATAAAATCCCGCCAGGGCCCTCCCTAGGAGAGTAGAAATCTGGTAGGGACAGGGTGTGGTTAGAGCCTGCGGCTCCCAGAGTGATAAGGTGTGAGATTAGTTGCACAACAGGCCTTGGAGGTCTGAACTGGAAGGAGCGGTCATCTTGGAAGGATGGAGAGCTGTGTGGCTCATAGGACAGCTGGATTGAGTCAGCTTCTGAGTGAGTTTAGCAGAATCACAACATATTTTGTTCAACCATGTGTTCTTGGTAGGAGTGATTTCCTTTTCTTTTGAGTCAGTCGCTGTAATCTGTATAAGACAGATAGTCACTGAGCACTTGATGTGGTGATTTTATGAAAGCTGTGTTGGTGGGGTTTGTGCAGACATGCTTTCCCCCGCAACGATTTTGTGTGTGCCTGCAGCTGAATCTCCTCAGTCCTTTTTACGCGTGCAGGTGAAGACCCACACTCAGGCCAGCTCATTTCACATTGAGGTTTCCCTGTAGCAGACTCATAGCAGTTGGTCAAGTCTATTCAGACTCCAGAAATGGGAGGCTTCTTTCTGCAGAGGTCTCAGGTAGTGAGGTTTCGCACCTTGACATCTTCTGTTGGTTTGGACTTTATCTAGAGCAGGAATGCTATTTCTAGGATGGGACTATTATATATAATCAGTTATCCTCTGAAAATTTAGTATTATCTGTTTTGGATTCTTTCTTTGATTTTCCTACCATTTCTGATGCAAAAAGAACTTTCAAAAATGATTTTATGTAGCTAGCTATTCATCCATCCATCCTTTTATTCATAAATTATGCAGTAATGTACATCAGAGTGCTCTGCCAGGCATTCAGGTACAAAAATAAAGATGTTTTTAAAGTAAATGAAATCCAAAACACTAATGTAATTCTGGATTCCCAGGAACTTAGTGTCTCACTTTTTTAAGTGTAGTTATTGTAAGTATTCTGGTGTGGCAGCACAAGCCACTTCTTTCTCCTAGGATTAAACTCAGGCACTTTCCACCCTAGCATCTGCATCTGAGAACTGAAAAAAGGGAAAGACGGTGCCATGACTAAAAAGGAAAATACACAATTCAGTAAGGAGAGGGGGATAAGAGTTCATTGTTTTTGGAAAAGATTCTTTGCTTTTCATATGAACGTGTGCCAATATGGAAATTTCTCCACATGCATAGCAAATAGGAAATATAAACACCCACTTAAATAACTTAAGTTTATCTTTAGATTTCCAGAGAGTTCCCCCAGATAGCTGGAGATAGATATCCCCTGGCAGAACCACTGGAAAGGATCCTTTACCAGTGGGAATTCTATCTGGATGTTTCTATGGTGCCCCAGTGTCAGGGGAGTAAGAATGGATGCAAATACTGAGCTGAAAGCCTTCTAATATATTTCTTGGCTACCCTAGAAGCAGTCTTGCTATTGTGTTTCTCTTTAAAAACACACTGCCTTAATTTAGCAGTAGAATTGACTGCTATACAGGAATCTAGAAAACTTAAATAAGGGACCAGGAAAAAGCATAACTATAAAAAAGAAAATATCAAAATCAACAAACAACCATGAACCAGAGACACTCTATGGGGGTTGGGGGGCGGGGAAAGGAGGGATTGGGGTCAAAATAAGGGGGTTGTAATTGTATGGGGAATATAAAAAATAAAATTTAAATTAAAAAAAACAATAAAAATCCAATATGACATTAAAAAAAAAAAGAATTGACTGCTGTATTGTCAGTTCCTCTGTTACTGCATTGGTCTTCTATAAAGAGTATAGAAAGTGATGTCAGAAAGGTACAACTAGTCATCTTTCCTACATTTTATTTCTCAAATCCTACCCACTTAGTTTATAGAAGCAATATATGTAGTACTCATAGACTGTAAGAGCTAAAATTCCAGTCTTTTTTTTTTAAAGATTTATTTTTCATTTATGCATACAAGAACTGGGGTGTAGGCCAGAGGTGCAAGGGGTGAGAGGATTCACCAGAGACCGAGTGGGGAGCAGAACAGGCAGATCTACTGAAATACGCTGCTGAGGGGAGCAGTGGGCGAGACCGGAGAGGTCTGCTGTGCCATGTGGGTAGTAGCTCCCTGGCCTGGGATTGAACTTGTGCTGTAGTGGCTGATAGCTTCATAGTGCTGAGACTTAACTCCTTGCGCCACCAGGGAGGCCCAGCCACACTATTTTTTAAGCTCCCACATTCATTCAAGAGCTGCTGCCTTATCTGATAGGGGTGACTTGAAAAGTCACCTGACCATGAAGTGTTAGTGTCTGGCTGTTTCACTGAAGAGCAGCAAGTGGATTTACCTACCTGCCTTCCAAAGAATGGAGGCTCTTCTTTGTGGGGTTTTGTTGACTGGTTGCATTGTGGTGACCTGCACCTTGCATAATGTCTTGGGGTATAACAGCATGCAAATACTTATTGAATATTTAATAATTGAATGTGTAGCCTTACCTGGGGACTAGGTTTTCACTCTGAAATAGATGAGTAACTTGATTCAGAGAGGTAAAACTATAATTTCTCTATGTCTATTGTTTGGTATTACATAGAGAAAGTGCACCTTTCTACCACTTTTTTCTTATTCTTTCTCCCCTCACCACATACATCCTTTCTAGTTACTCTACCCTTTCAAAGGAGAGGTAAGAAACTTCCACTTGTTCTTAAAAGATTTTTTCTAATATTGTGTTGGTGCTTGAGAGCTAAAGGGAACAATGGGTCTTACTTAAATTGGATCTTATCAATAAGAATATTGCTTAAAATTTAATATCTTGTCCCTCAGCCCTTGTTCCTTGGAATCAAGTAGAACACCATCAGAGGTATATAGGCTCATTTATTTGAATATGATAATTGCAACAGGAACTTTATGTTGCCAGAGGAAATTTTGCGATTTATACAGGAGATAAATAAGTGCTCAGTGGAAAATCCCTTCTCATTATGTTAAGGCAGCCTCACTAGGATGTCTAGCAGAGCCTTCTCAAGCTGCTGGATAGGTTCATTTGCTGGGCTGTCAGTAACTGGGAACCAGTAGTGACTCACTTTTTGTGCACGTTTCTTTTCTTTTTTTCTTTTTTTTTTGGTGCACGTTTCTCATTTTTGTTTTTGTCTTCCTCTTTTAAGTCTTGCTACCTCGCTACATACTTTTCTTTTCCTGTTCTGCCCCTGACTTCCTCTAAGTGGGGGAAGAACTTTTTTCTCTACCCTACTTGGCCTGCTGCTCCCCTCCAGCCCCAGATCTGTGTAGTCACTGTATTGTGACCCAAGATTGAAGGCCCTCCAGACAGGGAAGAGGGACTTCAAAAAGAATGGACAGAGCTGCTAACAAGGCTGTAAGGGAGACAGGAGACAGCCCATTCATTCCATTGCATCCCCAAAGGTATTCTGATAGGCATTCTTGAATTGTAGATCATAAAATTAAATCAGCTTTGCATATCCAGCAGAGCAAGATTGAAAAAGATGGTCACATTATCTAAGAATCCTCCTCTTAATAAGCTCCAGATGTCAGAAGCCTTATGCTTTCCTCCTGTCCCTGGGAAAACTTATTTCCCTGGCCCTTTCTGCACAGTGGGTGTTGATGCTCTAAGGACAACCCTGAATACTGTCATGTCTGAGGTCAGGTTCCTGGCTTATCCCTGGAGACAGTATATTTGTCACTGTGAAAAGAAACATGTCAGATATTTTTGCTTTAGCCACTTCCTGATTCAGAAAAGCAGGGTCCCCTAGATGGGTCAAGAAAAAATTAACAAAGAGGAGGCAGCAAGTGAAATCTATACATCCTTATACATCAGGAAGGAGGAGATATGCCTATTTTAACTTTTGTCTCCCAGAAGTATTTTTAGGCAGATGAAAACTTTTCTGAAGATTTCACTGAGTTTAGTCTCTGCGCTAAATGCACTCCTACATTATCTTGGAAAAACTTATTGAGGTGTTACTGCAAAAAAAATTAACCATAATCCCTTCTGACTAAAAAAATCTGAAACCACTTTTCCTAGGTAGGGAAGCAGTTTTCCTTGATAAGTATTCTCTGTGAATTATCTAGAAGTATACTGTTCAGTGCCTCTAGTAGCTTTTGGGGCTTTCAAATGTGACTAGTCAGAATTGCTATGTGTTCTAAGTATAAAGTGCATATCAGATTTTGAGAGCTTAGTGGAAAAAAAAACCAGGAAATATCTCAATTTTAATTTTTTGTAAAGACACGTTTATTCAGTGCCTCAATTTCTAGTTTTGTTTACAGATTGACATAGCATTTTGGTTATATCAGGTTAAAGTATATCGTTAAAAACTCACCTGTTTTTTAATGTGGTTATTAGAAAATGTGAATTACATATAACTCATCTATTGGACAGTATTGATCATAGTGATTCAAAAAAATATAAATAACCGAGAAGAGAATTTTAATGTAAACTTACCTTTGAATCAGTTTTTTTGGGACCAAAAAAGCTGATATAAGTATATCAGACCATGCTTTGAATAATATGTCTTTCTGAAAAATTGTATTCAAAGTGGA